TAATTATTTTTTGCGTACTCTTAATAAAAGGGAAGCGACGAATACTGATCGAAAGGTATTGTGCCTATAATGACAGGGTTTTAGCTTCCGGGGTATAAAGTAAACCGAATGCGCTATCTCAGAATGGATTGTGTAAAGCAAGGTTCAAAAGGTAATGAATCACTTTTATCGAAAATTTACGACCCGGCGCGTTAATTCCGGAAATAATACGGTTACACTGCAAAACATGTAACACAAAGAACATACAGTACGGTAGAAATTTGTACAGTATGAGCGTACGCAAAATAATGGACAGAGCGAACAATTTTCTTTCTTCGATTATTTAATCAATCATGTAAAATAAAACAGAATACGCATCTGATCTATAAAAATTAACTGTAACGATTTATTTTATGCCAAGATCAGCTGTTGATTAAAAAACTGCTTTAATTAGGATTATAAATAATTTAAAAAAAGGAGAAAAACACGAAGAAGAGCAGAAGGAAAGAGAAGTACACTTTTCGTCGAGCGCATCCGCAAATGAGCGGCGATGTGACGAACAAAATCCCGCGGTAGTTGAAGCACGTGCTTCCGCTCGTTCACTCTCGATTTCAATGTGTTTTTATTGCGTCTCTTAAATTCGCATTTATGAGCTCTTATGTTCTCCCCCGTCTTCCCTTTTCTTCTATCGGTGTGACTGGACCAAGCTGTAAAGCGTTGCGCTATGTCGAAGACAAATCGTCCGGCTCGAAGTTAAATAGGTGATAATTGTGACCGATATCCCATAACAATTGCAATCATAAATACTTTAATGAGCGAAACGACCTTGACGATTTATTGGTTCTTCTTATAACACGTGATAGTTGAACTTGGCGATCAATCACCTTATTATAAGTCTATTTATGTGGCATTAAAAGCAGCAGGTTACGCGCGGTGGCTTCGGCAATTTTGTGAATTGGCCGACGTCTTTCGCTTGCAGGAAGGAAAACCGATTAAAAAATCAGCAATATACAATTCGCATATTTTAACATTATATAAATGAAATAGTTATTTATTCTTACTGTTTTATAAATTATATGTGCAGATTTATTTCTTTTAATTTATCGGGATTCGTCGATGTTTTATTCTGTTCTTTATTATAATCTTTATACTTGTAGATTATACACAACCTAATCAATAACTCACAAATAGTTTACGGAAGCCTAAAGCGAGCTGTATATTTAAAGATGTTTTATTTCAGATATACCTATATATTAGCCTGGATACACAGGAAAAAAGTGTCTGACCAACTTTTATATACTCAAATTAACGCGTTCATTGTTTTGGATATACACAATGATCTATAATCTTCTTCAAAGCATTTGATAATTTTACATTCCAATAATATTACAGTCTTATTTAAATACTATAATTGTCACTTCAAAAATACGTATAATTATTTTGACTATAAAACCATTTTAATTATTATAAGCTTCGATTTGAAAAGATGTTATTTTTTGTCCAATATTGTTTCCTTTTCATTCAAAAAATATCTTCTTAAACAATTGGCCTACATTTTTCTCGATTAAATTATATAAAATTGCTTCGTTCAGTAAGTTTTTCCTGCTTTAACGCAGTATAATCGCATTTCAAGATTTTCACGTTACTAAATATATTTTCAAAAGAAGAATATTCAATTTTTTCCGTGTACAGAAAAAACGATTCGTTATATCTATATTAGAATGTCCTCTGCAGATTATGAAGTGCCATATCTAAATAACGTTATCATGTTTGATAACATCTATCAACACGTTTTTCGTTTAATTCAAAAGAATAAATATAACGTCTTTCCGCTTGTAACGACTTTTCTAATTTTTTTCTTCTCTTAATAAACGTCGCTTGCTTCACTCTCTTCGGTATGGATGAAAAAATGCGGCTAGCGTGTAGATCTCGTGCGATATATGATATGAAAGAAAACATTCGAATGTACTTACTGGATTTCTCGCGACAATCATAGTCGTAAATACTTTAATGAGCGAAACGGCCTTGCCGATTTTATTAGCCGTTTCTTTATAACATTCGATGCTTAAATTCACCGACTAATGACTTTATCACTTCTTACCGCACGCAATTATGCTTGCTCGTAGTAATGATAAATGCAACCGCGAATTCGCTGATGCAAGGTCTACAATGCGAGTCTCAGAGTCGTAAGAATGGTCGACTATGATTGGCTAATTCTTATGTGTCTGACTGAACTGACCAGTTACGGTCGATTATTCTTACGACTACGACTTGTAGACCCCGCATTAGTTCTCGCGCGTAAGGAATCGCAAGTGTATAAATCATTACATCGCCGAAATCACCTAAGAGTACTGCTTAGTATCTTCCCTGTTCTTTTTGGGCTCGAGCCATAATTTGTATAGATAATAAATTCTCTTCGGGACTCGGTTCATTAAACATTACATTTCCATAATGAAAGTTTCGGGGCACGGGTTTCTGCCGTCTGATCCGACGTCTTGTTGGAGATCAAAGACTATACAATGACAGTTACGTGGGTATATGTGTATACTTATGGATATCTGCTACAGATACGCTACAAGTTTTATGCTTTGGTTTTCGAGGTTGTAAATTTATTGCCCCGCGCAGGCTCGAACTTTGTGTGCCCGATGGCCTTTTTGACGAACGATGATCAGCGATAAATTACGACTTCACAAACCCATCGAGCGCCGTTACTTTAAGCACGGTGGCCGCCTATTTAAGTCTAACTGCCTACAGATTACATCGCTATAAAATAATAAACGTAAAAGATACTAAATGCACTCCGAGTGCCTGATCGTCCGCTGTTCTTCGCGCTAAACTCCTCGGCGTCGGCTTTTGAATTTGTAATCGAGTAATGAAGCAAGTGTTACGTCGTAGCATGCTGACGTTGTGTAAAACGCGAATGCTAATATAATACTAACGAGGAATAATCGTCATTCGCGCGTCGGACACGAAGCTGATAGACAAATTTGGATATTAATTATAAGGCCAGTTGCAGCTTTTCCACATTTTACGAGCGGAACTCTGGAGAATTTGGATTGGACAGACTTATTAGTATTAATAGAAGCACTGCGGTTCGCGTGGTGAATTATAACGACTTATGTACCATAAGATGGTCGTCCGAAGCGAAACGGTTTCCCTACGAGCGAGCAGACGGCCATGGCGCGATTCAAGTAGAAGGCAATCTATTAAGATATCGTGGGCCGAACCTGAGATCTCGAAACAACCCGAGTTAACCAATCGTGGACATCAACATCAAATCCACTCCTTCCACGACGCCGCTATTTTAGAATTCACGCCGCCGCGTCCGCTCCTTTCACGGCGCACGCTTGTTGCGTGCCCAAAGTATTTTAATTAAAAGTTCTTAAAGCCTCAAAAGCCGCGCCGCCGTAAGTGATAAAGATACTTGACGTTTTTATCGCCCGTCCTAAACGCAGTCGATGAGGATGAGCTGCCGCGACTTCATATTACGCGAAAACCTGGGCATGTTTATAAGTTGGTGTATTAATTCGGGAGCGTAGGGGAGAGTTCATTGATCGAATGAGACATTATACTTGCAAATATAATGAACATTTCGGCGAAGGCGAGACGAAATCGCGTCTAAGCTGCGAAAACAGTTGTCAATGTGAGCTTGACAAATTCTTGTCGTTTTAAGTCGAAATTGACGTTTGTTTGAAACTTGTGCAATAATTCTTGTCGCGGTTATTATCTGTAAATGCAAGCAGATAACTCGTAGAAATATCGAATTGCGGAGCGTTGTGTTCATTCGTAGCGAACGTTCCGCGAAATTTTCGCGGGCGACGCTATAGGCGAGCGTACGCTTTATATTCTTCACGCTACCGATCATGGGATAGCAATGAAAATGATGGCGGCAGGGGATAATGGCAGGAGATAATGAGGGGTCTTGACAGTTCGCTAGTACCGCGAGAAAACGCGGCATTTCTATCGCTAGGGATGTCCTGAAGTGAGCGTTAAATGTTTCCGAGAGGCTAGCAAGTTCAATCAATGGCGGACCTTTGTTTCGCATTTGCGGGAGAGAGCGTTAAGAGCCAATAACAGGTACCGAAATAAAACCGGCTAGTGACTCAATCTGCGGTGCTCCGCTTCGTGGCATAGTGACTCGCTTCTTTCCCCGACGGTCGTCCTGAGATTCCGACTGGAAGATGGAGCGAATTATCTTCACGGATTCGTTTCTCTTCGCGCATATTTCTCGGGATTGACGCCCGCGTCCCTAATCCAGGAAGAGAAAAAGGGAAAGACGAGAGAACGACAAGACGTCGCGCGTAAGTTCTGCTAACTTTTTCTCAGAGAACAATTTTATCCATACGCGCGTATCGACGGTACCGTCGATAGATCGACATGGCAATTGCCATGCGACAACGTGGGAACATTGGCACCAGCTAGTTGGTTTCACGTAGCGAGCCAAGCCCCGCATGAACGCAGAAGCGGCGAAAGAGGAAAGGGGTTGGAGGCGAGGCGGTACGCGGACGATCTGTCATCGACGCGAGCCGGCATTTTACAAAGTATAAGGCCGAGGCATATTGCCTGCAGGTGCTACACAGAAGGCAGTCCGCAGGTAGATACGCTGGGCGCCTGATTGGCCTGCTTCGACCTGACTCCATCCTACAGTTTTGCGACGGCAGTGAGCGAGGCAAAGAGAGGCGGTCGTTGTTACGTGTCGCTCGCAACAACTCGTCTTGCTGCGCTCGCCTTGCCTCTGCTGGCCTCAGTCGTCGAGGAGCGAGACAGAGACAGAGAGAGGTGGTGGAGAGAGAAAGAGAGAGAGAGAGTGTGTGTGTGTGAGAAAGAGCGGGCAAGAGAGGGCAAGAGAAAAAGAGAGAGAGACGGAGAAAAAGAAAGAGAGAGAAGGCCGGTACAGTTCGAGCATAGTAAATCCCGTTGGCCGGTACCTACGGTCTCTCTGCTCTTGGCTACACGCGTCTGTCGCGTAGTGGTGCTGCCAAGCTTTGGCAGCGAGCTAACTCGTTCAGCTCGCGGTGTATATTTCCGTTCCGTTACGTTCACCAACGCTTTGCCTCGCCTTTGCCGCCGCGACTAGCGACTAGAGCCGCTAGTCGAAATCCCGACGACGCGACGCGATCTCGCGACGCGTGCCGACGCGCGACCTGAACCCCAGTGTTATTACCGAGCGATTGCTCCGTTGTTGTTCTCTCACCTGTTTTTCTGCGGCACACAATCGATACGGAACACGCCGAACGATCGCCGTGCGCTCGGTCTGGTACGAGCGCCACCGGCGAACACATCATCGTCGACGTTCCTGCGTGTTCCCGAGTAGAGAAAATGCGGGAGGGAAAACACTTCTAAGTGTTTCTTACGTTAATACGAACAGCTCGAGGCAAGTTTTCAATCGTGAATAGTTGAACACTCGTGTACCTTCTTCTGTCAGTAGCCCGTCACGTCGAATTTGTGAAAGTGCCTTATTCCTACGAAAACTGGACTAGTCGAGAACATGGTGCTAGACTTGTGATACGCGTCGTCTACGAGGACGGATCTGAGAGAAACCCTTATCAGTGGTATCGTAATCCCCGTTGCAGCGGGGATCCTTGACACCCTTGCGACCCTCGCGCGCCGAATAAGAACAATGCTCGTGAAACTTGGTGAAAATAGCATACCCGATGTCCCTGCTTTCCGTCAGCTGTGCTAAACGCGAATCCAATGTGTGGCTGTTTCAGCAGCTGAAAAACGAAACGGCATGGAGTAGCTACCCGGGTCACGGAGACCCTTGGAAGGGAAAAGGGCAAAAGCGACCCCTTCCTACGCCCTTCTGCCGCCGCCGTCGCCGCCGCCGCGACGCACGACGACGTTGGACTGTCGTCGCACCGCAGCGACCTCTGCGCCATTATTATTATAGCCGCAAGGTGAGTTGAAATGTCACTTTACAATTGCCAGCGGGATGATTCCCGCGGTCCGATGATATTCCCCCGAACGGCATTACACGTGTTGCCGTAGCTTCCGCGCGGAGAGAGAAACACGCGGGAAGAAAGATTCAAGCGACTGCCTTCGAGTCGACTCGCCATTTCGACCTCGTCTCGAATTAGATCGATTTTTTCAGCTCTGCTTTCGCTGCATGTTCTTTATTAATCCCGATGCAGGCGCCGAAGCGCTTTCGTGGCGAATCGCAATTCTTTAGCCAGCTCTATTTCGTTATTGAAACAAGACGATACTTCGCATTCGTGAAATATGACGTTAACGTCGCGATATAATAAACAGATTTACTCGACAGATTTTTTTTCATTTATATTAAACAGTTCGGTACATTTTTTCCAAGACGAAACACAAGTTGAAACAGTTTTGTATACGTTTTTTGCGCATACATATGTCGCCATTTTTATCTCTTTTAACAAAGGTACTTTACAACGCCTCTTCTTATCGCGAAAAATCAAACGAACGTAAGAACCATTGCAAAACTAATAAAGTGGTTAAAGAGCGACTTGGTGAAATCAATAGGACATTTTTTTTGCATGCCGGTACTCTGGGGAAAAAAGACAGCAACCCATTTTGGGGCCCGTAATTAGTAATCGAATTATTTCGATTGTTCGTAACTCTAATCTTTTACGACATTTTACCCCGCGTAACTAAAAAGTCGCTACCCGCTGACGCGATGGTATCCTAACGTAATTTGTTCGCTCGCGTAGATGCGATCTTCATTAGACTATCGAGATTCCTACCGTGGCAAGGTAGTCTCATTAGACAATGGTGCCGTAGGAAGAAACCCATGCCGGGAACTATCAACTCTTTGCGATTCGATCCCCTTCGTTTTACGACCCTCCAATGGCGCGCATGTTCAGCATTATTTTGTTCTTCCCTGCACGAATACCCACGCTCTCTACCCTCCCGCCGTCGCATCAACGAACAGACACACACGTGCACGCGCACTCGTATCTTATGCCCGAGCAAACCTGCGAGAGGCCAAGAGATATAAAGTATATAAAATAACGTCGCTATCTAAATTGCCCGTCGTTGATTGTATATTCGAGCATCGCTGGACCTGAAAATTTTATCCCCCTGGCGCTGTGCTTGTACCACAATCTCTGTGGTCCTGAGATATCTCGAACTTTCGTTTGCGCGGTAATTATTGAACGTAATTATGAATAAAGCTTACTTTTAGATGTAAATTGTAGCTAGGTCGATTTTATTCGTTTTAGTGTAATGAAAGAAATAGTTCTTTAATTATAGAATAGTCAATTGACAAAACAAAGAAAAGACACTGGATATATATAAATTATTTGTTTTGTATAGGAGATTAAAATGTTTAAATATGTATTCGGTCGAAACGTGAATATCTTGGGACGATAATTGCTTTTGCTAAGAAAAGATTCGCTCGAAATCAGATGTCTGGATGTTGAATGGTGTTCTCCCCGCGCAGCTGGATCTCCCGTGTCTATAAACTCGAGGGAAAATGCATCGTGATCGGAATGTACCTTGCAGGTACAGAGGTGTGTTTCTGATTTTACCGCGTTCGCACCCGAAGCGTGCGGTATCCGCACATGATGCAACGGACGGTATTCTCTCGTACTCGGGCTTCAATGCGGGTAAAACGCGTAGGTATAAAGACACGAAGACCACGCAACGGCACGGTGCGAAGCGGACTAAATAAAATTCAGAATTTATGGAAAACGAGGGGGAGAGGAGAAGGAACGAGCGGCGAGAACGGGTAGAGAGGAGGAGCGCGCCGGTAACGGTCGGACTGGGAGTATCTACTCGCGCGCGGAGGAGCTTCCCAATGAATTTGAATAAAACTGGGATGGAGCGAGCGAGAGGAGGAGGAGAGATAACTGGAAAGGAAGAGAGAGAAAGAGAAAGAAGGAGAGAGAGAGAGAGAGAGGTGGGAAGGAAAAGGGAGGAAGAGAGCGAGGGAATGAGAAAGATGCTGCACATTCTCGGGGTGGTCGAACGGGTAGGCGGTTATGGCGCGCTGAGTTTCTGCTCGCATGAGAAAACTAGATACTTAAGATAACCGTGTTACGGTTGACCTGCACGACTGGCGTATTTCCAATCGACGAAATGCAAATTTGACGATTTAATTACGTTCCTTTATGTACGACAAGTCAGTAGCACGATATTTACGGCTTCGGCCATTTTTCTAGTTTTATCGATAGACGTGTTTTCGATCGTCGAGCTGTTCTGCATTCGGTAAAGATTTAGATTCGGATTTACTGGTCTTCGGGACAGGAGGGCCGATAGGTGGAGAATATCGAAGCGTGCAGGGAGCATGGCTGCCGTCGGACGCGATGGCGTGGAGCGTGGCATGGCCGCTCGCAAGCTAGTAGTTTCGATTTTTCCTCCACTTTTCCTCCGATTTTTGTTATTGCTCGTCGTATTTGAACTTTTCAGTCGTCATTTCTGTGACTTGTATAATTGTGTTTAAACATCGTGATATGATAGGCATTCAATATTGTGCCAGTAAATGTTATTTTAATAAAATGAGTAAGTTCTCTTAGATCTTTATGCATCTCGACATATTTGAGAATATTGTTTTTTATATGTAAAGCAAATAAGTGACTTTTTTCATTTCATTTATAATAATCAAATAGTTGTGATCAATAATGTTACTGAATTTATCAAACATTTTCTAATTTATGAGGTAACATTATCTGAAATATTCAAGGTGAAATAAGAAATTAAAACAATGACAAATTATAAAAATGTTTTCTTATTTCCTATTTATGATACATATTTTTCATGATTATAATTATAACAGCATATCATTATTTATTACATAAATATTATAAACAAAAGAATATGACATAAAATTAACGTAGAAAAGTTATACAGTTAAACTTCAAATTTTTTATTGTATTTCAAAAGACATTTATTTCAGATATAAAAACGTCTCATATGTAATAGATCACTATTTTTCTTGTATAAAATGAATTAAGACTCCGTTCTAAGATTCCATTTCAATTAACACAAGTTCGTTTCTGTAATGAAGCGATTGAACTTCCATAAACTCGAAACTACAATTTGGCAAGAGGGGAAAGGAGGGAGGATGTAGTTTCGATTCGATCTTGCCGAGTTGGAGAATCATGATGGCCGCAAGTGACGCTCCTCAGCGACACACACGTGCCACGGGCGCGTGATGGTGTGTGCCGATGGATTGCCCACGCATAGCGGCCCGCGCGATCCCGCGACAGCCATTTTGAATTCCAAGACTCTTTCTGCGGCGAACTCGCCGGCCCGGAGAGCGGTACCCCGCCAGAAGGGCAGGAGAATCTTCCTCTGCGGATACCGTCGCGTCCTCGTCTTATTTTTCGCGTGTCAAAAGACCGGGACCATGAGCAATATTGTTGATACTTGATGTTGCAGCCGTATACCCCCGCGTCTTCCGACTCCCGCATATTCCGCTTGGCAGGAGGCCGCCTGCATTTCTGTCGACTTTTTACTTCACGCATGCCTCGTGTTTCGAATCTCTCCCTCCCCCCCTCACTCTCTCTCTTTCTCTTTCTTTCGTTAACTTAATTTTTTTAGTTGCGATATACATAGAGTTCAAGAATTGCAAACAAATATGATCATCTTTCGACGAAAACGAATTCAAGGTCAGTTTTTTTTTCAGTGAAAAGTTATCATTTTTTCTTTTGCATTTTTTTCGTTTACCCCTTTTTTTTAAATCCGTCTCATTCTTCAATTCGTTAAAACTCTTCGATGCACAGACAGATAGCCGCCGGCTCGGATCAGCAGGGATTATTTGTTTTACAAGAATAGACTTCTATATCAACTTCCTATGTGTGTGTTTAGGTCCGCGATGCAAAGTCGGCGGATCGTTCCGGTGATATGTAAACGTTCTACTTTATGACTGACGACAAGTTTATGTTGATTGCTCGTTATAGTCATTCTTCTTCACTGATTTAAATCCGTGCAATGGATCCAGTCCGTCCTATTAATACCCGATTTTACTTTTTTTATGTGCTTATTTTGACCGAGCATATAATTATTCTTATATTAAATATAATCAAGTAAAGTGCATAAATAGACACTTATTATAATATTTAAATATACTATGTTTGCCCTCTCGTGCATCGTATCAAATTTATTTTAAATTAACTCATACATTTTACATGGAAAGCTATTATGTTAAATATATTAAAGGAAGTTCCGTGCGCTGTACACTTCCTTGGATCGAATTGAATGATTTTATTCAAATCCAAGATGGGGCTGACGTCACTATATTTGACAAATGCAATCTCAACTCCCTCTTGGACCCTCCTTTGTTTACGTTGGGCCGGCAGAAATTTATGAAACCACTTTATTCTCCGGCCGGAAAAATAACTTTTCATGTTCCGAGCGGTGTCACCCTCTTATCCACCGCCTCTTTCATCGCCCCCCCCTCCCCATCCACGCCCGTACATTTATATGATCCGTAATTTTCCGAGATAGAAGTATTCTCATCTCATCTCAGAGATTATACCGACTCGCCGCCCTTTTCTACTTTATCGATCTGGTCTGGTTTAACTTTCAGCAGTTTTATAGAGATGGCGTCTACATCACACCCGAAACTGTATTTAATCAAAATTTTTACAATCGTGGAAAGCGCGGTTCTCTCTTAGAAACAAATTTTTAGATATTAAAGTTTCAATATCAAAAATTTTACGAAGCTCAATAGTTGCTTATCATTTTTTTCTAGTGACGAAAACACGAACCATTGAAAATAAAGTAGTTATCAATAGTTATTGTTATTATTTGTGTGGAATATACATCTATTATTCACGCCACCCGCGTGCAATTATATTATAATTATTAAAAGATTTAATAATGATTAAATAAAAGCAAAATGTGTTTTTTTAATAATTTTCTTGCGTACTGTACGTATTTGTTTTAACCTTCTGTTTTATTAATAAATTTTATAAAATACAATAGAATA